GCACTGACCACCGACCACCATCTGGCACCGACCACCGACCACCGACCACTGACCACCATCTGGCACCGACCACCGACCACCGACCACCGACAACCCATGTGACATGTGTGCCATGACAGGAAGCCCAGCTGATCCTGGCCTGCCCCAAGCTGCCATTCAAAGTGTCGCTGCACGGAGGCAAAGTCTACACGCTGCTCATGACCACCGACTACGAGAGGGAGGAGTGGAAGGAGACCATCGCCTCGCTCAGCAAAAAATGTGAGACAGTCATCAGTCATATGTACCGTACTTGATGTAATCATCAGTCTTGTGAGACTATCTGTGATAAAGACACTATCTGTGATAAAGAAACTATCTGTGATAAAGAAACTATCTGTCCTCATCCACATAAAGAAACTATCTGTGATAAAGAAACTATCTGTCCTCATCCACATAAAGAAACTATCTGTCCTCATCCACATAAAGAAACTATCTGTTCTCATCCACATAAAGGACCCATCTGTCCCCATCCACATCCACATAAAGAATCCATCCGTCCTCATCCACAGGTGTTCCAGGGGATCAGCAGAACCAGATGAGCTCCATATTTATCCAGGAATTGATCAACAGTGTCAAAGAAGTAAGTCTGACATTTTCAATAACAAAAGACGTTTGTGTGAGCCTACCTAGACATTTGTCTGAGTAACCATTTAAAAATAGTGTCATTCCAAAATTTAAATTCCAATTTATTCAAAAACTAGTCACAGTTTCACTTTGATGTTTTCTCTCAAGTAGGGTAATTAACCAGGCTTTCGATATAGCAAATAAAAAATGTTGGCAGCAAAATGACAAAAAGTGTTTGGTCAGCTTACGGCAGACTACCTCTGTTCTCTTCCTTCTGTCTGTGTTTTCTCATAGACAGTTTTTACAAAAGTTTCATTCCAATTTCTGTTCTTTTGGAGTTTAGGATTTTGTCTGGCCACTTTGACTCCTTGGCTGTTTTTCTCACAACTGTTCCCGTCTTCGAAAAGAATACATTGTCAGGACTATAAAAAAAAGCTCATGTTATTTATTTTGTTGTTGTTGAGAAACTGGCGTAATGGACGTGTTAACTGCCCAATTATGTTTATACGTATATGATTTAGAAGAAAGGAAAGAAATCCTAACTAGGGCGGCCTGTGGTAAAGTAGCGTGCTCAGACGTAGTCCCTGTCGTAGTCCCTGTCGTAGTCCCTGTCGTAGTCTCTGTCCTAGTCCCTGTCCTAGTCCCTGTCCTAGTCCCTGTCGTAGTCCCTGTCGTAGTCCCTGTCGTAGTCCCTGTCGTAGTCCCTGATGTAGTCCCTGTCGTAGTCCCTGTCGTAGTCCCTGTCCTAGTCCCTGTCCTAGTCCCTGTCCTAGTCCCTGTCCTAGTCCCTGTCCTAGTCTCTGTCCTAGTCCCTGTCCTAGTCCCTGTCGTAGTCCCTGTCGTAGTCCCTGACGTAGTCCCTGTCCTAGTCCCTGTCCTAGTCCCTGTCCTAGTCCCTGTCCTAGTCCCTGTCCTAGTCCCTGTCGTAGTCCCTGTCGTAGTCCCTGTCGTAGTCCCTGTCGTAGTCCCTGTCGTAGTCCCTGTCCTAGTCCCTGTCCTAGTCCTTGTCCTAGTCCTTGTCACTGACTTGTGTTTTTGCTTTATGGTCCTCGCTTGTGATAAGTTATGAGATTATTGTCGGTAAAATGTCTTCATGTTTTAAGAATAAAGCCCCCTAAGAATCAGAGAAAGAGACACTGTCTTATCAATCTTTTTGCACCGCTTTATTCAAACATCATTCTTATATATAGATTTTGCACTTTCAGAAATATTATATTTTTGTAAGCCATAAATAATGTTAACCTATGCTAAGAAATATTCCGAACAAATCTACCACATTTTCCGTGGACTTTTTCAGACTCCTCAGATCAACAAGATCGGAAACGTCTTACTTCAGAGAGGTAAGCAGCGCAAACGAGGAAATAACGAACTACGATTGACACATACGTACATGGATTAATGAGGAATGATTGACACACACGTGGATTAATGATGAATGATTGAAACATACACCGATTAATAATGAGCAATGATTGACAGGTCGGCATCTATTGAACAATTGTGCAGATGTTGAACTCAGACATGAAGAATGGTCGTTGACTTACATAGTTCTCTCTGTCATCAGTGGTTTTGTCTCTGTCTCTGTCTCTGTCTCTGTCTCTGTCTCTGTCTCTGTCATCACTGGTATCCTGGACTAGCTCAATTTTGTCCAGTATGAATCTCTCTCTCTCTCTCTGTCTCTGTCGCTCTCTCTCTCTCTCTCTCTCTCTCCTTCCCTCTGTATTTCTCTCCCTCCCCCTCTTCCTCTCTGTCTCTCTATTACTCAATCTCTGTCTCTCTATTACTCAATCTCTGTCTCTCTGTCTCTCTCCCCTCTGTCTCCCCTTTCCCTACTTCTCTCTCTCTCGTTCTCTCAGTCTCTCTCTCGTTCTCTCAGTCTATCTCTCGTTCTCTCAGTCTCTCTCGTTCTCTCAGTCTCTCTCTCGTTCTCTCAGTCTCTCTCTCGTTCTCTCAGTCTCTCTCTCGTTCTCTCAGTCTCTCTCTTCAGTCCTTCCACACCTATATTTTTCCTTCTTTGCCTTTCCTTTTGTTTGGCAAATGGACCGACCATTGTACAGACGACAAACAGACGGACTGTGTTAACCGACCATTGTACAGACGACAAACAGACGGACTGTGTTAACCGACCATTGTACAGACGACAAACAGACGGACTGTGTTAACCGACCATTGTACAAATTATGTACCACGTTGACCTAGTTTAACAAACAGACCCACCATTATTGACCTAGTTTAACAAATAGACCCACCATTATTGACCTAGTTTAACAAACAGACCCACCATTATTGACCCAGTTTAACAAACAGACCCCCCAAATTGACCTAGTTTAACAAACAGACCCCCAGATTGACCCAGTTTAACAAACAGACCCCCCAAATTGACCCAGTTTAACAAACAGACCCCCCAAATTGACCTAGTTTAACAAACAGACCCCCCAAATTGACCTAGTTTAACAAACAGACCCCCCAAATTGACCCAGTTTAACAAACAGACCCCCCACGTTGACCTAGTTCTAGCCTGTGCCTGCGTTGTCCGACAGATGAAGACATGCTGAACGGGATCCTCAACGTCACGATCCACAAGCTCAACGGCCTCTCTGAGGAGTGTGGTGAGTGGAGCTCTTCTTTTGTTCAAGTTCTTCTCTCTCTCTCTTCTCTCTCTCCCTTTTCTCTCTCTCTCCTCTCTCTCTCTTCTCTCTCTCTTCTCTCTCTCTACTCTCTCCCATCTCTCTCTCCCTTCTCTCTCTCTCTCTTCTGTCTCTCTACTCTCTCCCTTCTCTCTCTTTTCTTTCTCTTTTATCTCAGGACAAGAAATTGGAGGGAGACAGTCTATACTATTGTTACTGAATTGTTATGAAATGTTGAAGGTTATCAGCATTTGCTGCTTCAATGCTTATAATCTTGTGTTGTTGTTGTTGTTGTTGTGGTTGTTGTTTTTGTTGTTGTTGTCGTTGTTGCTTTCTTTAAAAACAGAAACAAAGATTTTACTGTTGCTGTTATACCGATTTTGACTGCAAATAGATCACTAAATTGGAGGCGTGTTCAGTCCTTTGATGTGTCAAGAAGCTAGTTGCTGAGTGCTGTGTATATATATATATATATGTGTGTGTGTGTGTGTGTGTCAGCAAAAGTGAAGAATAGTCCGACCTTTAATTGTTCATTTGTGTCATTTGTGGATCCTTTCTGCTCACCTGTTCACTTACCCCTGTCTGCTCACCTGTTGACGTACCCCTGTCTGCTCACCTGTTGATGTACCCCTCCCCTGTCTGCTCACCTGTTGACATACCCCTGTCTGCTCACCTGTTGACGTACCCCTGTCTGCTCACCTGTTGACATACCCCTGTCTGCTCACCCTTTGACCTACCCCTGGCTGTTCCACTTCAGCAGTGTACCTCTGTCTGTTGCGACAGCTGACATTGGGACTGCAATTGTTTTCTGTGTTTTTTCCTCACGGTGTTTATTTGTGTCGCGTCAGACACGTACTGCTGCCTGGAGATGGACTCGTTCGGTCACTTCTTCATGAAGGCACGCACGCACATCTGTGAGGGCTCTCGTGACCCCGCGTGGAACGAGGACTTTGAGCTGGAGCTGGAGGGTTCTCAGACGCTGCGCATCCTGTGCTTCCAGAAACTGTCGCGAGAACATGGGGACGACTTGCTGGGGAGAGGGGCCTTGGAGGTGAGGGGTCATTGTGAAGTATGTCAGTGGACGTAGAGGTGAGGGGTCATTGTGAAGTATGTCAGTAGACGTGGAGGTGAGGGGTCATTGTGAAGTATGTCAGTGGACGTAGAGGTGAGGGGTCATTGTGAAGTATGTCAGTGGACGTGGAGGTGAGGGGTCATTGTGAAGTATGTCAGTGGACGTGGAGGTGAGGGGTCATTGTGAAGTATGTCAGTGGACGTAGAGGTGAGGGGTCATTGTGAAGTATGTCAGTGGACGTGGAGGTGAGGGGTCATTGTGAAGTATGTCAGTGGACGTGGAGGTGAGGGGTCATTGTGAAGTATGTCAGTGGACGTAGAGGTGAGGGGTCATTGTGAAGTATGTCAGTGGACGTGGAGGTGAGGGGTCGTTAGAAAGTATGTCAGTAGACTTGTAGGCATAGAAGTGAGGGGTCGTTAGAAAGTGTGTTTATGTTTTTAGACTCGGAGATGAGGAAATGTGTTTTTAAATAGATATAAAATGTGTTGAGCTCAAAAGAACAAATTCTATAGAAATTGCCCTATGGGTGGAAAAATGAGTTCTTCAAGTTGTGTATGTGGTGCCACATCTTGTGTGTGTGTGTGTATGTGTGCGTGTGTGTATGTGTGTGTGTGTGTGTGTGTGTGTGTGTGTGTGTGTGTGTGTGTTTCTGTGTGTGTGTGTGTGTGTTTCTGTGTGTATGTGTGTGTGTGTGTGTGTGTGTGTGTGTGTGTGTGTGTGTGTGTAACTTTTTGTCTTTGTGTTTCAGCTCAGCAAATCCTGGCTGAAGGGATCTTTCCAAGAAAAGACAGTGGCTATGAATGAGGTAAATATTGACCGCTTTGTCGCTGTATTTTAACCACAGTGACTGCTCTGTCGGTGTCTCTGGGGTGGGGGGGGGGGGGTGTAGATGACGGTAGTGTGAGTCACCAACGCTTCCTTCTTGAACTTGCGTCACTTTGGAAGCCTTCATTGCTCTCTGTTGATTAGACTCACACAATGGGAAATGGAGGTTAGTTCTGTCTCTGTTATAGACTACACACTCAGTCCATTCACTGTCTGTGTTATAGACTACACACTCACTCACTGTCTGTGTTATAGACTACACACTCACTCACTGTCTGTGTTATAGACTACACACTCACTCACTGTCTCTGTTATAGACTACACACTCACTGTCTGTGTTATAGACTACACACTCACTGTCTGTGTTATAGACTACACACTCACTCACTGTCTGTGTTATAGACTACACACTCACTCACTGTCTCTGTTATAGACTACACACTCACTGTCTGTGTTATAGACTACACACTCACTGTCTGTGTTATAGACTACACACTCACTCACTGTCTGTGTTATAGACTACACACTCACTCACTGTCTCTGTTATAGACTACACACTCACTCACTGTCTGTGTTATAGACTACACACTCACTCACTGTCTCTGTTATAGACTACACACTCAGTCCATTCACTGTCTGTGTTATAGACTACACACTCACTGTCTCTGTTATAGACTACACACTCACGCACTGTCTGTGTTATAGACTACACACTCACTCACTGTCTCTGTTATAGACTACACACTCAGTCCTTTCACTAAGACTGTGATTGTCAAAATCTTGGAGAAGGATCTTCCCGTCCTGTGACATAAACGTTGTAACAACTTCCCGTCCTGTGACATAAAGTGTAACAACTTCCCGTCCTGTGACATAAACTGTAACAACTTATATCTGGAAAACCAAAGTATTTCTTTCCTTTCTGTAATGAGCACAGAAGAAATTAAGAATTTTTTTTCTGGAAACATTTTGTTGTTGTTGCTAGTCCAGATTCTAGTGTCTTTGGTTCTTTACATTTATACTGTGAGAGTGTTGGTTTGAGATTTTTGATAATTGTTTCATTTAATCTGCATGGAGTTTTCTTTTTGTTTTCTTCAATTACTTTTGAAAATTTCCGTAATGTTCAGGTGAGAGGTGTTCTGCTGCAAAGTGATGAGAACTAAAAAACTATTGGATAAATACTAACTATGGTGGATAAATACAAACTGTGGTCTTTGTAACTGTTGGATAAATACAAACTGTGGTCTTAGGTTGTGTGTAACTGTTGGATAAATACAAACAGTGGTCTTAGGTTGTGTGTAACTATTGGATAAATACAAACAGTGGTCTTAGGTTGTGTGTAACTATTGGATATATACAAACAGTGTTCTTAGGTTGTGTGTAACTATTGGATAAATACAAACAGTGGTCTTAGGTTGTGTGTAACTATTGGATAAATACTTGTGACAAACTGTGGTTGGTAACTGTTGGATAAATACTTGTGACAAACTGTGGTTGGTAACTGTTGGATAAATACTTGTGACAAACTGTGGTTGGTAACTGTTGGATAAATACTTGTGACAAACTGTGGTTGGTAACTGTTGGATAAATACTTGTGACAAACTGTGGTTGGTAACTGTTGGATAAATACTTGTGACAAACTGTGGTTGGTAACTGTTGGATAAATACTTGTGACAAACTGTGGTTGTGTGTTGTCTGTAATGTTGCATGACGGATAGAGAGAAGGTGTAAAGTTTGAGTGACAGAAAGAGAGAAAGTGTAAATATTGAGTGACAGAGAGAGAGAAGGTGAAAAAGAACAACAGCTGATGTACAACATGTGTCTCTGTCTGAAGGTGTCCCTCGTCATTTCCGTGCGCCACACGCCGGCCGAGAAAACCATGAGACGCACGCCCTCCATGACTGGCTCGGCTGTGTTTGGCGTAGAGATTGCCTCTTTGGCCCGGCGGGAGGGCAAGCCCGTGCCCTCCATCGTCACCGCCTGTCTGAAGGAAGTGGAGAAACGAGGTGAGTGAGTACCTCGTGGTTTGTGGAGAAAAGAGTGAGTGTATCCCTGGTGGGTTGTGTTTCTGACCATAGTGAGGTGAGTACGTACCTCGTGGGTTGTGTGTGGAGAAACAAGGTGAGCACGTACCTCGTGGGTTGTGTGTGGAGAAATGAGGTGAGTACGTACCTCGTGGGTTGTGTGTGGAGAAACGAGGTGAGTACGTACCTCGTGGGTTGTGTGTGGAGAAATGAGGTGAGTACGTACCTCGTGGGTTGTGTGTGGAGAAACAAGGTGAGTACGTACCTCGTGAGTTGTGTGTGGAGAAACAAGGTGAGTACGTACCTCGTGAGTTGTGTGTGGAGAAACAAGGTGAGTACGAGGTGAGTACGTACCTGCACGTGGTTTGTGTTTCTGACCATAGGGTTGTGTGGAGACAGACGGGGAAAAGCTGGGACGACTTTTTAAATTTATTTTTTATAAAAAGTTCTTGTGAAAGAAACAGTGTGTTAAGTCATTCGCTATACTGAGCTGTGGGCAGCGGCACGGCTAAAGTGTCGTCCCAACTGCAAGCAGCCCCCGATGACTCGAGAACCCACCTATAATTCTTGCTTTGATTTTATTCCAATCCACATATCCATGTTAACATAAAGGTTATAATATAACGTTGACTTCCGGGTCAAGCGTTTCCACCAAAAATCGGAAGTTTTGATTCAGTTTTGAAATGCGATTTCGAAGTTTATGCGACTTTGTTTTATGGCGATGCTCAAATTATAGCCCAGACACCAGTCTTAGTACTTTTACACAACAAAATGTAGCCTATCTTTATTTTGCTCATTAAAGAAATGTAGGACTCTCCTTTAGAATATTGATACAATTGGACTCAACAAATTGCCATTGCTCTGTTATTGAGAAATCTTTTTCAGTACTAGATCTAGATCTAGTCTAATGTAGATCTAAACTGTGAAAATATTTTTTTCTCCCCAAAATTGTAATTTTTTGTGTGAAATTGCACAAAAGTACCACTCAGACATGTATAGGTTTATTCCAAATGCAATTCCACATAAAGTACGTGTTTTTTTCTGTTTGTGAATGCATCTTGTTCTTTTTCCAAGATTACCTTTCAATATCGGGTGTTATGATCCAAATGTACAAATTTTGTGAAATGTATGCCTGTAATTAACTGCCAGTTTATCAATATTTTCCAGTTCTTTGTTCAGCAAATCCTAGTTGTAATCTCATTAGCAAAGGTGAAAAGATCAAACAAGTCCAACAGTTTAAATATCTAGGATATATGATAACATCTTACGCCAAATGTTCCACAGAAATAAAAAGGAGAACTGCAATGGCTAAGGCTAGTTTCAATAAAATGAGCCCAATCCTGAAAAATAGAAACATATCAATGAACACTAAAATGAAAGTCCTGAAATGCTATGTTTGGTCAACCCTTCTATATATGGCTGTGAATGCTGGACAATCACTAAAGACAGTGAAAATAAAATAGAAGCAACAGAAATGTGGTTTCTTAGGAGACTGCTAAGAGTATCGTGGAAGGAAAAGAAATCAAATGAGGTAGTGCTTGATGAAGCCCACGTGGGACGCTCACTGTTAAAAACAATCAGGAAACGACAAACGCAGTTTTTGGGACACCTGAATAGACATAAAGGTCTCGAACATCTAGCTCTCACTGGCAAAATTGAGGGCAAGCGAGGCAGGGGTAGGCCCAGAACAACATACTTAGGGAACCTAAACAAATGGGTAACAGGGAAAGATCAGGGAAACATAGC